CCAGCCACATGCCAGTCATCTATTCCACTAGTCTTTAATAAAGTCACCCATAGAGACAGAGAGATAAACACAATCCCTTGTTTTGATGCCCTGTGGAGGAAAAGGATTCCTCTAAGTCTTTGTGGGGAGATGACAAAACAACAAGATAGCAGAGGTCATAATTTCACCTTTATCATGATGTCTCCCTGGACTTCTCTGATCACACTGTATGGGAGATTTCCATACATTTCCATTCATTATTTATTGTATGTACTGGACACTGAAGCCATTTCCAATCCCTCCTCTGGATTGCCACACATAGTCCTGATGTATGTCAGGCTCGCATCAGGCCTGCTCTGCAGTTTAGCAAATTAACGCGTATTACATTGAGGCGGGTAGTCATGAAATTTTCTGTGTGATCAAAATTAATGAATTATAAATAAAATATCCCAAATGCTGAGACTAAAAAATGCAGCAGCAGCACCCTCTGCAGAGAAACGGAGCCTTGTGTTTAAAATTATGACAGAAATTTGCCCCCGAGTCTGTTTTTGTACAATCAGCTTTGACTAAGAAGGGAAATAAGTGGAATATAAACTGCCCAGCAGTAAGAGATAAAAAGCAGTGAGGAATGTCTCTGTCCAACTGAGTTTTTCTTTTTTTTCTTTTTTTGCCTCTTCTCATCTCTTTGGTATCTCCTGGCATCAAATCATCACAGATGGTTGGTAAACACGTGAAAGTTGTGTGCAGTTTACTTACAGCCAGAGGGTATACCACTATCTATCAATATTAGATCAATCAAACTTAGTACCGATACCTCATGTCTTTGCCTGCTCCTATGGGCTGCACTTCATCATTTATTGATTCTTTTATTTTATTTATTTTTTTGTTATTTGACTGTTCAGAGTGAAATGGACAAAGAATTTTTTTTTTGCTGCTTGAATTATGTTTTTTTGAGACCACATCAGACTGTCAGAATAAAGGGGATTTCACAGGAAACTGAAACTAGTGATTATGAAATGTCGATAAAATGTCAAAGAATTGTGGAAAATACCCCTCAATGTTTCCTCAGGCCCAAGATGACTGAAACTATAAAAGCTAAGAGGACATTCATCACCAACCCTCCATGGAAATTATTCAGTATCTCGTACATATTTGAAAGACACAGAGTGAACACATTTGCTCAGCTGGATTTCTTACTTAAGTGTCATGTTTGCTCACATTATGTTCCTTTCTTCCCTGTTATAACTTAATCAGCAGAATACTCATGTCCGTACCCTTGAAGATGACATGGTAACCTAATGCTTGAGAGAATTTGAAAGAAGATATCTCAACAGTTCTGGATCCTGGATCTTCTGATTCAAGTGTGAGAACTTTTGAACAGATAATGTATTATTCACATAGTATATACGTCACATCTGCCGTGACTGCACAATGAACCATAATGGAGAGTTATGGAAGATGAGGCTGATTTTTAAACCAACCTAACACACAGAGAACACCTCAGTAACTCCTTTCTGATTTGGACCGTCTGTATCTTCATATTGTTTCACCCTCAGCTGGCCCGACGCCGCCGCTCTCTCAGCCTGTGATGTTTGTGTAATGGCCCGCAACCTGTTGACACTTTTATCACCCATAGATTTTGGAAGGCAGTAGTCGCCATATGCGTCATTGGCTCGCACTTTGCCGAGCTTGATTTATCGGCTCCTGCAAAGGAAGACAATGGCTAAATTAGCACTCTGACTGGAGGCGAAATTACATTTATGAGCTGGAGTCGTTGAAGAGAGCGTGCCGGACAGAAGTGGATATATCCTCGTGGTCGTTGTGGGAAGTGGACTGCTCTTCAGTAGTAACTCTGGTTCAGTGTATTTAAATGATTCAATTTATGCAGGAATTGATTTATCAATCTACAAGCAGCACTAGCAGAACCTAATATTTCTAAATGTCTGTCACTAGATTAAAAGTGTGTGTGCAGAAATGGGCCAAACCGTGTCAACAAAGTAATTGGTCCCGTCCACACTGCCACCGATATGTAAACACCGCCTGATTTCTTGCTTCGGAGGTTGTGTTTCATATTACTACAATCCAGCAACTGATTAACTACCTGATTCAACAGGATCTTTTGACTCCTGATCTAATTACAGGCTTGATATTTACCACGGAAAGGACAGTCAGCTCTCATGAAGAGTGAGGCTGTGCAATCAACAGCGGCTTTCTAATTAGTAATTTATTTGCGAGTCCAGGCTTTGATTGGATGTGGCCTCAGGACCTCCGGCGTTCAACTTGTTAAATAACTCGTCTCTGTGAATGGTTGTGTATTTCCTATATATATATATATATATATATATATAAACTAAATATTTAAAAGGAAATATATATATATATATATATATATATATTAACCCTTGGTTCTTCTTATTCATTTTCCACTGCAGATATATCCTAATGGACTTCATAGGTACACATGCTTTTCTAGTTATGTCATATCTCCCAGTAGAGATGTCTTATAGAGGTTCAGTGAAGAATTTGCTTTGCTGAAATTGTGATTAATTATGTAACAAACGGACAAAAAAAAAAAAAAAAGAAAAAAAAAAAAGAAGAGATGTATAAAACGCAGTTTGGTCAATAATAGGTGCAACTGTTTAATGCCCTAAATAAAACTGAGCAGTATGATGATTGATTGATTCTAAATTTAGGTCGCAGTGAAAGTAGACTATCTTGTCTCGACTCCAAAACAGAGTAGCCGTGTCCCAATTCAGCAACAGCACCAGTCAGATGAATTTACAGTGGGTATAGCATGCCAGTTATTTTTTGCAAGCTGCAGAGGGTAACATCATCTAAAATCATTATTTATCAGCTATGTCATCCCTGCTGATTAGTCACAACTTGTGACTGCTGTTCCTGTTAATGTACTTTTTTTTTTTTTTTTGACTAATGCACCTGCACTTCGGGAACAGATGATTTGGTCTGTGTGGAGCTCTGTTAGTTGTCTGACGCTGTTGTGAAAACCCTAGTGCAGAGTGCCAGACCTCGTCTATATCTGACAGATGCTGCTAATTGGCATTCAACAGAATATAACTTGTAGCAGCGGCTGCAAGTTTTTTACATTATTTTATCTCCTCTTATACATTTGGGTGATTTGCAAAAAGGTCTTTATAATAGCCATGCTTATCCTGAGTGTGTGTATTATAATGGGATCAAGAGTAACATATTAACTCCATACAAACACAGTATGAATTATTTATCTGCTGCAAGTGCATCTTGCGTTCTCCATGGGCTTGCATAAATCTTGTTTGAGACCAGATCAAGGTGTGCTTTTTGAATTCAAAGGTTGTGTTCACAGCTTGCTGATGTGCATCTGCAAGTATGAAAGACAAAAATACCACCGGTATATGAAGTGATGCCAATGCACGGTGAAAATGGATTGTTCTCTCACGTTCAGCCGTGACATTTCCCTGAGGGGGGTAAAATAAAACCTGTGTTTCTTAACATGTTTTATTCATGGGTGAAAATGAAATTGTATAATGATGATGTTACCATGGTGCCCCGGTTTGGAAATTCAGTGGTATTGTAAAATATATTTATAAAGTTTCAAACTGCAACTGAGCTGAGCAATTGGCATGAAAGTCTTAATCCTCTTGGTATCAATTATGGCTGAACAAGTGGCTCGGTTTTCCTTTATTCCTCTCTCTCCTGGTGAGAAAGAAGGCAGTGCTTTTCCATCTTTAACAGTCTTGTAAGGATTTCCCCCAAAACTTTAATCTCTAAAGATGCGTTTCTTCAGTGATGCTCGGGTACAGTCAAGCCTGAGAGAGGAATATTGAATAATGTAATGTCTGACTTAGATGTTGGGAGTTTTCTTAAGCTGAAACGTGGGCTGAGTGCAATAATGCTGCAAAGGTTACTTACTACTATATGAATCTCAAATGTTTTAAAAGGCCTTGGTAGCGACTATATCAGAGTATAGTAGATGTACATCACAGTTAATAGTTATACAGCCAAGATACATGCCTTCACATGGACTAGGGCTGAAATTATTCATAATTTTCATCAATATCAATTATTAAAGTAAAGTAATTATTTTGTTGGTCAATTAATTTATTTTATTCTCAATTACAGAGAGTAGTCTCTAATGCCCACCATACATTAGAAGACTTTGAAAAGACTTTTCAAAGACTTAAGTTTGACTCATATCTAAAGACAATGTGTCATTAGTCATTAGAGTGGGAATCTTGCACACTCACTGTTTGCAAGACTAGATTCCTTTGAGATTATTTCCCATCATGCTCCCGGTGGGAATTTACAGGAAGAAAAACTGTTCTTTCCAGACTTTTTCTTTTCCCCAGAGTCGCCTCCATGCTCACTATAAGCTGGGTTTGCTGCTTCCTGTTTGGTGCTGGAGAAGTTGACAGTGTTCACGTCACTGAACGTCACCATTCCCATGAGCCAAGACCAAGACGATATTAAACATGTTTGGTTTTTTAATTGGAAACTGCATGAAAAATTACAACAGCTTACACCAAAAGATTGAGAGGACGGGAGCGCACTGCAACTCTAGCAAAATTCTCATGATTTTATTCCAACTGCAAATTTGTCTGTGATGGAGTAATGGCTTGAAAAGTAATTTGGCATAAGCCCGGCATAATTACCTTGCTTTTGTCCATTTGAAATCCAAAGATATTCAACTTACAATGATACTAAACAGAGAAATGTGGAAAATGTTCACGTTTGTCGAGCTCGAATTAGATAATGTTTAGCTGATTTTCCTCAAAAATAAATTGCCAAAATCTGTGATTAACTTTGCGTCAATGAATCAATTGGTTGTTTCTGCAGTAATATGGACATAATGGTGGTAGAAGTCCTTTCTCCTGCAGCTGTTCCCTGCCAGTGCACTGTGACCATTGTAAATTTTGCAACCATGAATCATATTTTGAAACCGTGAATCAAAAACAACCCTAAGCAGTGATTCTTGGCAACGTTCTTTACTCTGTATTCACACAGCCTCTGTCTGGTTTCCCTTGCAGCTTCACTCGAACTCAGATAAAGGCGATGGATCCGTCAGGTACATTCTGAGCGGGGAAGGAGCCGGGACTATATTTATCATCGACGAAGTGACAGGAGACATTCAAGCCACTAAGAGCCTGGATCGGGAAAGGAAAACGCATTATGTCCTGCATGCACAAGCCTTGGACCGCAACACAGAGGAGGCCCTGGAACCAAAGTCGGAATTCATCATCAAAGTACAAGACATCAATGACAATGCACCCACATTTCCAGATGGACCCTTTGTAGCTACGGTGCCTGAGATGTCTGAAGTGGGTGAGTAGTGCTACAAAAAAAAAAAAAAACTGGACCTTCAGATGATTGGTGTCCACTGTCAGCAGCAGTAAGCCTTTGTTTGAATGGGTTGAAAGATGACAAAAAGTGTCTGAAATTGAGTGTTATTTTTGCTGCTCTTTAGATATTCTTCATGTTCATAATCCCTTTTATCCCTGTGGTAAAGAGCAAGAATATCATGGCGAGACCTCTGACTCCGCATCCTGTGTATGTTTGAAATAGACTTATGGCCAAGTGCAGCTCCAAGATGGTTTTAAAAGAAGGTATTAGTATTAAGAACCAGGATCAAACATGTTATTACCCTGTGCTGCATTCTGGTCTGTCCTGTCTGTGATTATGTTCTCCAGAATGTTTGATCTTCTGTAAGCCAGCCGAGTCCTCTTTTTCATCTTTGTTTTCTGGCTGCTGCGATGGTTTCCCGGGTGGGCAGGTCTTTATAAAGCACTCAATAGTGCCTCCGCAGCAATCCCTGCCATCGAGACTGTGGAGTCCTCCACATCACGGCGGAAAGAAAAGCCTCTATCCACCTCCTCGGAGACAGCTGCTCCTCGTATGCCCAGCATCATGTGGCTAACATCTATTTTTTATTTCTTTTATTCTACTGTTCTGTTTTTAGCTCTGGTGAACAAAAGCCACCCTTTTCTCCAGTCCAGTGGATTCTGCCTCCGAGCACAATAGCTCAAGAAGTATGATGCTCAAATATTTCACAGCACTCCCTCAAAAAACATATGTAGGCTGTCCAAATGGTGGCCAAACTGCTGTCAGGGCGATTTTGCTTCAAATATACTACGAGATAGCGAATTTGTGGCGTTGACAGTTTGTTGAAAACATTCCATTTATATCTGTCTGTCTAAAATAATACCTCCAGTTGCATGAAAAGGAGCAGAAATACTTATTAAAAAATATCTCAAAGAGAAAAAAAAAAACCAACGGCTTCATCAGTTTTCTCGCAGCGAGAAGATGGAAATGTGCAAAACCGATTAAATATGCAAACCCCAATAGACCTGTAGGCGCCCTCTTTATAAACAGTCAATATCTCTCTGGTTGCATTCATGAATATTCATGAGCAGACAGGCCTGACACACATACAACTTTGCCAGTCAGTGTATTTGTTTTTAAGTCGGATGTGTCAAGTACATGTTTTAATCACCCCTGAGAGTGCTGCACTGTGGATGTGTCCTGGCACCGTGCTCGCAGAGTCACATTTGTCAGCACATACACATGAGCATTATATTATTTAGGTGCTGCTGCTACTGTAAGAAAAAAAAAATGTGTGTATTGAATCCCAGATTAAATGATTTTGATTATTATATAAATTAGTTACAGCAATCTTTAGCTCTAAATGAGTGCATAATGAGGTAATGAAAATATACTAGGGGCGCTAATCTGTGTATTGGCATCCTTCGTTTAGCTCTAACGAGACCGCTCATTTCAAAGTTTCAGTGTTGGCTGCAAAACTTTATCATCGGTTGCACAAAAAGAATCAATCACCATTGATGACCCTAGGGGGGGAAATCAAGGACTGTGAAGGGGGGAAATAATTAGCCTTTTTTTTTTTTTCTTTCCCGCCCCCTCTTTTGCTCATGTCCATTAAAGTAATTCCTTTTCGGTTCGGCGTCTGCAGCCTCAAATCGGCTGTAACAATCAACTGTCCTCACACTCCAGAGCACTAATCCCCTCAGCATTTGTCAATACAGGCGCTCCCAAAGTGCAGGAAGGGGTTGTCTGCGGAGTGTGTGGCAGCTAATTGGTTGTGATGTTCTTTTTTTTCCTGTCTAAATTGATTAGCTGGGCACGTGCCAGGTAAATCCGACATTACAGTCTCATACCTCCCGTTCAAGAGCACGATCGTATTTTTTGCCGGATGAGAGGGGTGTCACTTTCCTACTATTGTATGTCTCCCAGTTGAGATGTTACGAATAAGACATGCTGGAGATAGTAGCTCCGCTGTCCTCTTAGCTACTTCACATCTGGGAGAAATCACTGTTTAATGGTGGTTTGGATACCCTGGAGCTGAGGCGGTGGCTTGTTTAAACCAGTGGTTATGATTAAAAGAGTGTTGCTGGAGCTAATGCACAGACATCGAGCTGAGTTGCAAACATGGATAAATGTTGAACCCTTTGTAGACAAATTAAAAAATGGAGATTCAGGGTCGCAGGCAAAGGGCAGAACTCTCAAGTAGATGCATCATACAACACGTTGATTTTATTAACCCGTGAAGTCTCAACCAATATCCTGCTAACCTTTTTCATTTCAAGACTAAATGAAAGTGTGGATGAAACAAATGGCACACGATCCTTGACTCCGGCTGCAAGAGGAAGAAGATGAGAAGCTGCTGGTTGTAAAACAGTCTCAGAGACCAACCTTGATCTTTTTGAAAGAAAAGAAAAAGTGCATTAGGTTTTGTGGTCATGGCGATGACTCTGGCAAGCGATAAAGCGATAGATGGACTGAAACCGAAAGGAGATGATGAAAGTAGATGTAAAAAATGGGACACAGGATGTGACTAGGTTTATGATTGAAAGGATGATCTGGATATGTCGAGCTGAGTGCATATTTCATAATGTTTTTGCACATAACTCAGAAGTCATTTTATAGTATTGGATATCTTTCTCGTTAAACCTTTAACATCAACTGTTCTGCGTGCAAGCTGCTAAAACTTTCTATGGAAAGAATATGAGCATGTATTATACTATGTACCGACCAGATTCTTTGCTTCTCTGTAATTGTGGCCATTTTCAAAAAGAATACAGCCCTTGTAAAATGATCCAGATAAAGTGCAAGGTGGAATGCTTGACATTTCAATAATGTAAGAAATCCTTGAAGACTTGATGTTAAATTCGTTGCAAGGGTTTAACCATCACCATTTGTTTTAAATTAGGTGTCCCAGCTGCAAAACGGGTTGGGTGTTAAAGGGGTTAAAACCGACAATTCCTTAATTGGGATACTGTTATTAATGGTTTTAGTTGCTAGAAATTAGCATTAGAGGTTTTAGGCTGCCTCTCATGAGTCAGAACAGTCTTGTGAGGTGGTGGCCACTATGTGAGAACCTTTGAAGAATGTGGTGTCATTGTAAAGTGTCTTTATTCTCAAGAAAAAGTCTATAACATGAAGGAAAAGTTGAAACTGTGACCTTAACACCCATGAGACCAAACTCCCGGCAGAGTTTTAGTGAAAGTTAATGTTCAGCAGATGTGTGCATATACTGACTTTTGAGTGCTCACATTTTAATGACTGGAAACAGACCTGTTAATGTTGCACTTGTCACCTTAATAGGTCCAAATATATAGTAGCTGAACACTTCAGTTTAAGTGTGTTGTGAGTGCAGTCTATTAGGACTGCATAATGAGTTCATTATCAGGCAGAATATGCAACAATATAAAATCTGTTACACAGTTTGGGAAACCTGACAAACAAAAGAATATATATGTGTATATAATGATAGAGATGTTAATTCTGCTGAGATTTATATGGAGTTGCGCAGAAATATTAATGATACGAGGTCACAGATGAGCATTTTCTTTACTTAAGCCATTAACGAAGACCAATTCAAAGTTCATCAATTAAATTATGTACTAACTAATAAGTTTTTCTAGACAGATGATTTGGAACCAGCTGGGCTTAAAAAAAAAAAAAAAAAAAGCAATCCCTGAAATGATTAAGTCCAAATAATTCCCAGTGCAATTTTTGCTTCAAGGTTGACGGAGATTCAGAGTGGCCAAGCATACTGTGGAGTGCATGGTTCATTATGGCTGGCATTTCACTCTCTGCTCCTTCAGGTTTCTGAGGAACAAAAAAAAAAGAAAAAAAAAAAGAAGTCATATCTGGTGTGACACAGTGGAGCGAGTTTCTCTTGTTTTAATTTAGTTGAATTCCTCAGTGGAAAACAACAAAGCGAGTGTCCAGAAGATTTACAGGCCAGCGTATAGCTCATGTGTCTCCTAAAGCAATCATACTATGATTTTTAACATATAATGTTCCATTATATAAGCTTGTAGTGCAATTACAATGCACTCATCGTGCAATTATAATGGGTTAATGAAGCCTGTAATGCTGTTTGAGCAACACTTGAAGTGTTAAATTGAACCACAATGGCTCTTACACTGAATTTTTAAATAACAGTGAAAATAACAAGCCATCCCTCTAAGTTTTCAAATCATTTGTCTTTGTTCTCCTCGGCCTTTTTGCAATGGAAACAGCTTGAAAACCGAACGCCGGTGATTGCACTCAAAGCATTTTCCCCATTAAAGCCTTAACATGAGAGAAAATGTCCAGCAATTATCCTTTCATGACACATAACTAATACACACACACACACACACACACTGCGGTCAGCTCTTGTGCAGCAGTGCCTGTCAATGTGTTTCTATAGGATTTTGCTCTCTTATACTATATATTACATATTCATTTATCTGCTTTTTTTTTTTTTGACGAGCTAACAGGTTGCCATTCTGGGAACATAATGGCAACCTGTAGCTAGGTAACTAACCATAATATCTGTATTCAATTACTAAAGCATACTAAATCAGCATGTGTAATAGGCAGCGATCTGTTTCTTGGGGTTAAATGAGGTGACTCTTCTTAAAGCTCAAAGTCTGACAGAAGATGTGTCCAGCATTTTAAACATCTCTGTCCCTCTAACCCTGCAATCTCATATTCAGATTTTCTGCTCAGTAATTCTCCAAAACCACCAGACACTGTTGCTAGGAGATTTTCAACACGTAGCCGTTACACAATTAAATCACATCAATATACCTTTTTTTTTTTTTTTTTTTTTGAGAATTTGAAAACCTGTGACTGTGATTCACTGTGAACCTGCAATTACCAGGAAATAATTCTGCTGTGTTCATTTTCAGGCACGTCTGTGCTGCAAGTCACCGCGACGGACGCTGACGACCCCACCTATGGAAACAGTGCCAGAATAGTCTACAGTATTCTACAAGGACAGCCATATTTCTCCGTCGACCCCAAAACAGGTGTGGTATTACTGCAGACAAAGTGAGCTCCCACGCTCTTGCAAGCATGGTAACAATAACTATAAATGGGGGGGTAATAACTTTGTTATAATCTCTATTGTTGATCTCCTAAAGTGATGTGTATATCAACGCTGTCAGATCCGAGCGCCATATGTTTCTTGCAGTGAACATGGTGTTCTGTTATTGCAGCACGTCTGACATCATAAAAGCTAAAGCAGCCGCGGCAGAGTTATGGACTACTCATACGCCTGCTGTATTGTTGAGCACGCAATCCGCTCTTTGTGGGCCATAACTAACTCCTCAGGGGTCAAAGGAGACATTTGTAGAGATGCCTTCATAAAGCCATTGTTTCCTACCTTTTAAAAGGGGGGGGGGGCACAACAAGCAGTGGCAACTCTTTTCAAAATTCTTTTTTTTTTTTTATCTGAGAGACCTCTACTAGTACTATTAAATGTTAATAAAGCCTCTAAAGTGCAAGACATATAACTTTTATACGATGTGAAAAATGTGTTGTTACGAGTATGTGTGCATATCTATTTATTTCTGATCTCTCTTTGTCTCGCAAAGTGAGTGTGTACATGCACGCTCGTGTCTGAAGTCGCGCATGCCTTGCCTCTGCTTCTGCTCCTGCTGCTGCTGCTGCTGCTGCTGCTGCTGCTGTCGGTTAACATGAACAACAATCCACTTTTATGAATTGATTCATTGCTGTCTGGAACAACTATTGGCCCCTTTGAGACTATGCCGCCCATGTAAAACATGAAGTCTTTGCTGAATGAGCAACACAAATGAATTGCTGAATATTTTGACTTTACCTCGAGGGAAAAGGCGGAGGGGATTGATGGAGCAATTTCACAGCGGTGTGGTGAAGCCGAAGCGTTGCCAGTTTTTGAATGCAAACTTGGCTTTTTGTTCAATCAACTATATGTTGCTGTAGTTGAACTCTATTTTCAAAAATCACATTTTGACTCTAAAAATTCTTATTCCGGCGTTATTTTCCTTCCATGTGATGTGCTTCTGGACACATCAGATGGCTTGTTTTGCTTGAGCTGACTCGGCATCTTGTCTGCATTATAATTCAGTGTGGGGCGTGCAGAGGAGTTGGGACGTGATCGAAGGCCTAGCCAGCTGCACTCCCTGCAAAAGCACTATTCCACCCACACGTTTTAATTTATATAAGTCGGCTGTTGTTTTCGCCACTGGCAAACCACCCTCCTCCCTCAAATTAGGACAAGGAACTCCAGTGGTCAGTGGAAAATGTGCACATGGAGGGAGTTGCGCTTGCATGCGATCCTTTAATATGCTAAGCCCAAGTCTTAAAGCAGTTGTGTTGGCGTGCTGCCATATTCGAGCACCACACTGGGGAGCTGAAGCTGCTCCTGCAGCTGTCTCACAGTGCGTTAGCCTGCTTACACCTCCTCATATCCGCATGTACCTGGCTCCCACCATGCTCAAATTGCAGATACACCATCGTGGGGAATTGGTGTGTTATTAGCAGGATTAAAAGAGCACACAAAAACACACACGCACACACACACAAGAGCAAATCTACCTCTCCCAATTTGACCTTGGTCTGGTGGCCTCATGCAGCAGCGACAGATTTTACAAGACCCATGAGGTAGAAGGAAAGCTCGTTTAAGGACAGAGGGTAATGATAGCATTTGGCCTGAACATATGGCATTGAAGGAATCCCTAAAGGGCCGTCTCAGGCTTGACCCAAATCCCCAGCAAGCAACAAAGTGGTCAGTTTTACCTGTTTTCTTCTTCTTGGCTTAGCGATTTTGATAACATCATCTCAAACCTACCAGTGAAATGACAGACCTGTATGACTGGTCGGAAAATTGGACTAAGCGCTAAATTGACGGCATTTACAGTCTATAGCACTTTTATGGCTCATAACACGACAGAGTGCTGATATAACAGGCTGCCTCTGCAAAGCAACCACAGACCAGAAACTTTTACCGTAAGTATTCTTGTTGCCTTTGCAGATGTTAAAATTAAAACGTGTATCTTAATGTCCCTAATCACACTCAGGAGCATCTGTGGATATTGCTGCAGTATGTTTGGGCTTTATGCCTTACAAAAATCTGAAATATTGCATAGCTGTGTTACCACTCCACAGCTAAACCACGGGTTCGGTATGTTTAGTGGCAAAAACAGTGCATGTTTGCTGTTATTTGCAGTTACAATTTACAATACAAATACACATTTTTACAAGGGCTCACTTTTCTAAATGAGCATTCATATTATTTTTCTACATGTACACCATGTTTTAGACACTGAACCAACAGTTGCTTGTAAATATTTCAGCAAACCAGGGGCAAATTCCATTGGACGTTCTGCATTTCCAAGTCAGATAACTGAGACAGACACGTTAATAGCTCAATAGATTATGACTCAGAGTTTATACTTCCTTACTGACTAATTAACTCAGAGAACCACATTAAGGCAGCTGCTCGTCTCCACTGGAAATAAGATTCAGTCATGGATGTAAAATTGTAACTGACACATCTGTGATGGTGTCATGCAGCATGCAAAAAAAAAAAAAAAAAAAAAAAAAAAAAAAAAAGGAGAGATAGGAGTTTAGGATTAGATTTACTTCGGCGGAGAAATAAATGAGCATGGCACAGACTCTGTAAAGACAGAAATATAACTGATACAACTGATAATGATGGAAGGGGCTGAGGGCGGAAAGTGTGTGAGCAACAGAAAACAGATGTGGCAGCTTGTGCGCTGCATTGTAATAATTTGCTGTTGCAAAAATATTTTGTGTTCAGTTCTTACTCCAGGGTTGAGTATAAAATGACTGAGTTGTCTGCAACAGTGTTGTGACAGTGCAGGTGTATCTGGGGTTTACATTTCTGTCATAATCATTCAAATTGATCAGTGTATTTGATATGATCTGACATCTGCATAGCGCTCAACAAGTCCTCCACAGTGTTGGGATTATAGTTTAAAAGAAGCAGGTTTAATGGTGAGTGTGGCAGGTTATTGATCCTGTTGATTTCATTATGGAAAAAAATCATTATTCCATCAAAGAGCAAATGCCAAAGTATAGGTGCTGGATAAGGCAAAATTTGTACATTTAAATGGAGTAGCTGTGTCATGATTTTATATTTACTAAGTCAAAGTTGCCAAAGTGGGGACCCTCAAGGGTCCTTGAGGGGGTTCCTGAGGGCCCCTGGCAAAAAGGGGAATACATTTTTTCACTATAATTCCATCCATAAGTAAGAGACTGACAGACTGCATGACTACTTTGGTCATGGGTTTCAAACACTTTCTGTAATTAAACATCTAAAAGCAAAAGTTTTGATTTTATCAGATGGGGGACCCTGGACAATATCCCTGCAGTGATGGGGGGATCTGTGGTCTAATTTGTGTCAGATTAGGGATAATTGATGTGAAAAGGTTTGAGAACCACAATCAGAATGTTAAGATGAGATGTTATCAGGGACAGATCAGAGCTTGTATGTATGTTGTAAGTAATACTGCATAAAAAAAATGCCATTCAGAATGGTAATATAGCCAAGGTAAATCATAGGCATATTTGTGCGAATTCAAAAAGAGATGGTGTCCCTGACGTTGTATAAAGCAGAGTGAGATGCCATTTAGTGGTGTCTAGATCATCCACTTGTTAGTTAGTGAGGAACAGAAACTCTGCAGGTTTTCATTGCAGCTGCACACTGCAGCAACGCAGGCCGCTGATTATGACACATTCAGAACGAGTGGAGAGACTAATCAGCGAAATCACCTGGTGTGGCATGAGGCTGGAGCAAAAACCTGCATACCCTTAACTCACTATGGTTTCCTGCTCGCCCTCTCGACTCAGAGTTATTGCATGTGGAGGCGGCAGCTTTAGAAGCAAGTTTTTAATATATTCATCACCAATAAAAAAGGAAATCATTTGTGATATCCCAGAAATGGATTTGAAGCTAATGTTCAAGCACACTTATTTGCTTTGTTACTTCAAGTAAGATGAGAAGATCAATACCACTTTCACAGTCATATAAAGCTAGAACCAGGAGAAGGCTATCTTATCTTAGCATAGCTTAGCATGAGGATACAGTTACCCTGGCTGTTAGATAGGAAAATCTACCTACCAGCTATTAAAATGTGAATTAATAAGTTATATCTTGTTTGCTTATTGCACACAGAAACCAAAGTATAAAAATGACGATTTGTGTCTGGGGATTATGTGCCCGACATCCCAGCTAAGCTAACTGGCTACTGGGTGTAGCTTCACGGCTAACTCCGCACAAAAGCATATTGACCAAAATGTCAAACTAATCCTGTAAGATTCCTCAGAACAGTGTCGCATTTCACAAAGAAGCTGGGTGATGACAGATGAGAGTCAAGAGTTTCCAACAACAATCACAAATCCTGGCAAGGTGTCCTTTCAGTAGGATCCTGAACCTCCTGCCTGCTGCTCGTGTCGGACTTGTCGGGGGATTTTGGTCGAAAACAAGAGCAGGTGCACAAGGACAACAGGGAGTTTAGACAGACGGACTGAACCTCTATCTGCTCACTGAATATAAATCACACAGGATGAAAGTTCAAAATGGTGCCTGGGTGTACATATCACTCCCTCCGTCAGTGGGAAATACAACTAGTCCGGGGATGTGGCAAGCTAAGTGATGTGCTAACTATGTTAAGAATATTCACTGCATTGGATTTACTTGATTACATGGTTTGCAAATCTCAAAAGTGCAAGCCAGCAGATTTAATAAGAGCTTTCTATATCTCAGCAAAAGTACATCTTAGGCGGCGGCTGCATTTATCCTTTTTATAGTCGGGTCGTAACTCCTGTCTCTCCCATCACTACTGTGCATCTGTCACTTACCCGCAGAGACATCAAGGTTGTTCCTCTAGAGTGTCATAGTCGAATGCCCCCCCCCCCCCAGAAAAAAACCCCACCTCACATCTGTACTCGCACGCACACTCACACTCTGCAGAACCCCTAAGTCCCTTTTGCATCCTAAATAGGCTAATTTCTCTGCTGATCTGGGATTTGTGAGTGTTCGAGTTTATTGAAGGAGCTGACACAGATCAAGACTTTTTTTTTTTTTTTTTTTCCTTCTGTGGTTCATGGATTAAGTCTTACTGCAGGTTAGATGAAGGAGAACACTGTCACTTGGTCAATCAGTTGTGATGAAGCCTCGATGAGTCCAACCAATTATTCTCAATCAGATATATGATCTAATATATAAAAGGGAGAATCGTTGTAAAGTAAAAAGAAGTCATGTACTATTATGATTTCTGTGATTATTATAGCGGCTTCTCTTGATGTTATCTACCTTTTTCTCCAGAAATGCTAAGAGTGCAGACACACAGGGATAACATCGTATTGGATGGGCCAAAAAAACCAAGATTCCTGAAGCTGGAGATTGAAGAGCGCTTTAGTAATCTTCTATAATCCTTTTTGTTCACCCAGGAGATTGTCCTCCTTTAGAAGTTTCCAGCCAGACAAAGAGGTGGATAGTGTGATGGTATCAACTCTAATAGACTGGGGAGGTTGAGGAAAAGGCTAACCACCTCACTGTGTCAAATGGGCCCAGGTTCAAGGAAGTCAGCTCTTTCTCAATTATTTTCTAAATTAACTGACGAGCTCCATAGAGATTTAGCTGAGACTATCTGAGGTATTACGGCTCAGAAATGGTCAGGCTTGGGAGTTCAGGGGTGCGATCTTCATGTCAAAGTACTGACATACCTTTCAGGTACTTGCACTTCCCAAAGAGTTTGCCTTAGGCCGTTTCTGTATTGTTAAAAGAATTTAATTCAAGAATGAATGCAGGTCAGTGATTGTATGTTTATAATGCAGCTGTATTGCTCTCTTCTGACTGAGAGTTTTCTTTGTTTCTGAATGGCCAGAGACAGGAGTGCAGCTGTTTGTGACGACGTATGACTGACAGCAGGTCCTCCTCACTGTTGTGGACAACACTGGGTTTCCTGAGGCCAAAAAAAGAAAATCTCATGCTCATCGTTTCTTAACCCACCACTGTAAAATATTGCTCAGGAGCAATGCACTTTCATGAGTGAAGGGGTAATAAGAGACTTGAAAGGTCAGATTGTCTGTCATAGTGTTGTTTTAATGGAAAGCGTGGCCACTTGCCAAGGTCTGTGTGTCTCAAGGACCCCAGGTTAGGTAATGCTAAGACTTCAGTTAATAACAAAGGACTTCCAATAGAGTTTTTGCAGAGCCGCCGTCATTACAGAAAAGTGGCTGCGAGCACTGTAATGAGAAACCCAGAGAAGCAGCAAGATCCATCCTGAGACCTGGCAGCTTGGCAAAAATAAAATTCATCTCTTCTGAACATATAGAGTTCATGGACTTCATCTGTGGGAGCAAAAGACCAGACATTTTTTTCTATTTGTAATAAGAAAAAAAATTCAAAAAGAAATTTTTGTTTCCATTTACATGTAATATTTCAAGGTTTCAAAACACGAAGCAGTCCACTGCCGGAGAAGAATGGCCGACTGATTATCAATGTTGTGTTTGTATTTAAATGCACTGTCCTGTATTTAGTGTATTCCCAGGAAATTGTTTTTATTGTTTTACTCTTCCTGAAGCAGTAATACAGATATTCTAGTGTATTTACACAGCGGAGACATTACTAACATCTTGGCAGCTTTCAAATCACAGAGAACCCCAGTATTGACAGGCTAAAAAGGCCAGCGTTTATAATTCATGCGCATTTAACTCAAGGTTCTCACATTTCCAACAGGAGAACCAGGATGTCACGGCAGCACAGTGTTAATCTGTCTCATCAACTCGGTCAGAGTTTAAGCAGAACGCAGTCTGTCACTGTCTGCTTAGCATTTGAAAGGCAGAACGTAGCAAAGTATAATTCACCACCAACTCAAAGGTCAGTCGACTTCCATTTAATGAGGGTAATTATTCAGCTACAACTGGAGTTACAATATACTATAACCAGTGTTACTTTTAAATCAAGAACTAATCCTGATATCAAACCAATAAAAGAATAAGTGACATGAACAAAATGCAAATGTGGCTTTGACAAAATATTTGCACATAGTGTCAGAGAGGAAACCTACCTTTTTTTGCTTTGATATGATTCGGAATAAAGCCCTACAACACATTAGTGTCTGTCTAGCTTGCTGCCCCACTTAACGGTTGTTGTGTTTTTTGTTTGTTTTTTTGTTTTTTTTTTTGGGGGGGGGGGGTTTACAAGCAGAACTAAAGCAATATACTGCAATATAAAGCGGCTGAATCTAGTTTTACCTTACCTCACAATGCATCTAACAGTATAGTGCTTCTGTGGAGCCTTGAGTTGGAATTTGAGGACACACAGTGTACTTGTGACATTTTACACTGACAAACTTTTCTTAACCATTAGCCATTAGAGAAATATGAACAGGAGGAGTCAATAGGTTGGGGTTCAGTCATTCCACTGTGGATTTGGCAATAGAAGCTCTATTCACAGCTCATTCATAGAAACTTCATCACCTTGTCAAGTTTAACTTTGAATTAATACCTTACCTTACAAACTTTTAAATGTTACACTGCAGAGATTGTAGAATCATCTGACATTAGGTCATCTCTTGAATGCATTTCTTTTAGTAGAACACTGACTGCTCATGTACGTTTTCTCTTATTTCATTTATCTATGATAATTAGATTTTACTATACCATGCCATTTAGAATATATCTTGTCCTTTTGTTGATGCACTGCTGATGAGTCTAGGCTCACCGGCAGTCAATGCGACCTGAGCCACAGCTCAGTGTCACAGATGATGTGTAACCTAAGATCCCATGGATCTTAATACTGTTGGCTGCCTTGCTCCTTGACCCAGTTTTAATGATTATTCTGCCTGAGGCGAGTGGATTAGTTTCTGTCTATAGAGTCATGAAGAAAGAAAGAGGAAAATGACCTATTGTATAACACAGCTATAGCTGCCTCTTTGGTGAAATTAGGAAACCATAAAACTGCATTAACTTGCTCCAAAATTAAGTTTTGTTCAATCCATGCTGTCAGGGTTTGAATTGGAAATTACTAACAGAATAACTGGTACAAATGCTAACTTACTTGGTCAGCTCAGCTGTCTGAGTCAGACACATTTTAAGAAATGTAGATATAGCCTGCATTTTTAATAGTGTGTCTAATTTATGCAAAAATATCTGCTTTAAATCCAGCTGCCACATGCAACTTTAAACCCCATGAACATTACTGCAAGAGAAATCTATGTGAGTGGATTAGGTCTTTGGTCATTTCCCTATGAATAGCATCGGACTTGTTGTTGAACATAACATTTAAGTTGCTGGACTTGTTAGCAAACAGTTGTCTTATATTTCCTTTTAGTTACTTTCCTTTTACCTCTGTTTTTGGCCTCAACATACTCCTGAGGGAGGAGGGCAGGAGGTGTACAGTCAGTTCTTTTTTCTTTCAGCTGTGTCCTTTGGCAAAACAGTATTCAATCATGATACACCAAGAGCTCGGGATTAACCGTTAGCTTGTCAGCTAGTGAGCTTAAATCTCTTGTCTTGTGACAATCTTGTGAAAATGATTGCTGTCCCAGCACCTGTATAATGAGATGTAGTCAACTAGAAGCCTTATAATGCTACACAAAACACTTTTAGTGAGAATGATTATTTGTCTGCTGAGGCAAAGCAAACGTACATAATACGGCCATGTTTGTGGAAAAGGCCAGTTTCATTCATCTTGCCTCCCGGGCAGGGTGAAGAAAAGCAGTGAAAGAGTATAATGTAGTTTGATTATATATAATGTAATTCGTGCCAAACATGTGATTAGTACCTTTAGCACCTTATTTTTTTCTATACATACTACACACTCACCATGTTTTAGTGACGCTTTCCTTCAGTCTCTACAGCCATCTTATCAAACGCCACTTGTTGTGATTTCCACTTTCACAACAGGAGGCAACGGCAGCAAAGTCCATTCCACTTTGTGATCAACGCCGTGCCATTTTCTCCTGGGTCTCACTGCTCCCGTTCAACCATTGTGTATTACTGCAGGGTTCACAAGTTCACAAGACCATAAGTTCAATGGTTGCCAGAGGGTCTTGGCTCTGGGGAAAAAGTGAGATTTACAATGAACGCTGATGTAACTGGTGGAACATATTAAATCAGGCTCCATGTGGCGATGGGGTTTCAGGAGCAATGGTGGGAAATTAACCCTCTAGCACAGATATAGACACGCACACACACACACAAAGCTAATATAGACTAACAGACACATTAAGACTGTACACGAACACACACAGACAAATATATGTGCAAGACATGTCGTTATTATGTTCAATAAATCACATACCACCCAGCAACACAGGAAACAAATACTGCGCCTGTCTTTGTAGCTTGTGACTCAGTTACAATTTACCTGTGTACAGTTTGTCTGTAGTGGGCAGAGGTGCAGTCATATATCACTGAGTTAGCATTGTGAAAGTTCATGGCTGTGTTTGCTGTGTTATTGTAGTGATAAATGTGATTGAGTGGGCGCCTTAGAAAGTTGCATTCTGTCCCGATCCAAGGTTGCATAGTCATTTTAAATATGACTAAAAGTGAGGAAGGGCTAACCTTGACAACGAGCGACCAGGAGGATCAAAGATGAAAGACGCAGCTTAATGGTGTTTGTCTTTAAAGGAAAAGTGCTGCATGAGTAGTCCATAACTGAACGAGGTCTTCGTGGAGAAAATATTAGGGCAATGATCGTTCACTCTCTCAACAACAATCCCTCCCTGTGTCTTAATCTAGATTTTTTTTTTGCCAGCTTCTTGTTTTGTTTACTCTCAAAAGACTATTATCAGTTGCTATTAACCACTATCTGCTTACTCTTTTTTTTTTTTTTTTTAATGCTGATATAATAAAACGTAATAAATTCCTATTTAAGTGTAAATGGTTCTGTTTGCAGGAATCATCAGGACGGCCTTAGCTAACATGGACCGGGAAGCCAGAGAACACTACACAGTTGTTATCCAAGCCAAAGACATGGCGGGCCAGGTCGGAGGCCTCTCTGGCTCCACCACCATCAACATCACTCTGACGGACGTCAACGACAACCCGCCCAAGTTTCCCCAAAGTATGTATGGAGCGCTACCTGAATATGACATCACAAAAGAACTAACAAAATATATCACAAATGAAGTTTAAGAACAGTTATTCGATAGTGGGTTGTGTTGGAAAAAGATGCTTCACATTCAGGAAACTGGAGAACACTACATTTTCTTTGGCTGTAGCCTCTATTTGAAAAATCTTTACCCTGAGAAAATTGTTGCCTTTTGGTTGCTTTGCTAGTTAAAGAACCAGAAGGTTAATTTAACAAAATAACCAATGGTAATGGTAATGTTTTACTGCTACTAACTTGAATTAGCTTCTATTACATTAAATGACCCAAGCTGTGGCTGGTAATGTAATAAGCTGTTCCCAGCAGCTCCACCACAGCCGCCTGAGGCAGCTCCGCTACCTGAAAAGCATTTGTAAGAAGACTTCTGTGCCGGATTTTCATTGTGGGAGTGGAAAGATAGCAAGAAAAGTAACTGTAAGAAAAGTGCTATGTGGAGCAAAACTCTTAATACGGTTGCGCATGACAGATTATCCGTTAAGAGTGTATTCTCTGGTTTCGCTGCACGAAGGAAAAGAGAAAACATCATCATGGCAGTATTTGCAGAGACAAAATTAAAATTATTTTAATTATAATTTCTCCATGCATGCATTGATTAACCATTTATCAGTCTTAGAAGGTTTAGGGAGCAAATCATGGATTACTGAGGCTTCCCCTCATAGACCTATTCTGCATTCCTCACTATGATGTATTATACTTCATTATTGTGTGACTCAGTGGTCTAATATCGCAGTCAAATTTTCCGTAATTAGCAAAATTAGAAAAGCATTCATCTAAACCCTCTTTTTTTGCCGTCTGAATTTTCTCCATTTTAATGATAAATTTAAGTAATGATGAAGTTGTGATTCTTTGCCTTTGAAAGTGCCTCATCAAACACAATCCCCCCTCGGCTCTGAGTTTTTCATTTTGTGCTGCGGTGAAAAACTATTTCAAAACCATCAACATTTTCTGAATAATCATCTGCCTCAGAGTTTTGATCTGCTTCACTGCAGCGCTATCAACCTCAGTTTAGCATTTAATGTCAATTGAAGCACTGCAGAGTATTTTTAATGACATTTCCTCAGGAACAAAGGGTGACAGAATAAAACTGCTTAACTAAGCCCTTTTAGGATGACATTCAGACAATGCAGATCGGCCTGTGTTTAAGGCAGTTTTTTTTTTTTTTTTGCTGTCTCTAAATTGGTACACGTCAATGTTCATCCACAGAAAATTACCAGCTGTACGTCCCTGAATCAGCACAAGTAGGTAAACCGGTGGGGAAGATCAAAGCCAATGATGAGGACCTTGGCGTCAATGCAGACATCAAGTACAGCATCATTAACTCCGAGGGGGCCAACATGTTTTCCATAACCACGGACAGAGACACGAGAGAGGGAATCATCAGCCTCAAAAAGGTAAGCACACACTCATGAACACAGAAAGAGGTTCTTTCTTAGAAATGTTAAGGAAATGGCCTCATGCGTCAGCTCAGCACTGTGGGAATACAGACTGAAAGGTGGAATGTGCAGTTTTGACCTCTAGTGGTGCTGTAGAGCAGAATTTGGATGATCTGGTTGGGGATGTGTGAACAATTTGATATTGTTTTGCATCAAATATTCTATCTGCATTATGGGCTACTCATGCATACGCACTTATGGGGGTTTTAATGGTTAATGGAGGTAATGCATTAAAAATAGAAGAGGTGATATGCAAGTCACAAATTATTTAGAATAATACGCAGCAGGAAATGTATTCATCTAGATCTAACACTCTTATGCCGTCTTTTGTAGTAATGTTGAATTTGAATTAAATGAATGTTTTCAGTGAAAACCACAAGATTTAAATGTCTATATGCAGCTAAAAAGACTCTGCACTAAATTAGATTTCTTGTCAACACATGACATTAAACTGACAGCTCTCAGACAAGTAATTTATTTTTCATTTGATCTGATTTAAGTTTAGTAAATATTGGACTATTTTAGTTTGATTTCAGCAAGAGCAGTTAACTGCTCTTGCTGAAATCAAAAATTAAGAATCAAGTTACTTATTTTTCTGTAAAGTGATCACAGTCGTGTTTGAGGGCTTACCGTGATCGTTCACTTATTCTCACTTGGACGATTCAAATCGAGCTTAACTCCTTTGTACCGCGAGAGTGCTGATCACATGTCCCTATGGTGCCTTTTTCCCAACAGCCTCTGAACTACGAGAGAAAGAAAACCTACACCCTCCACATCGAGGGGGTGAACACGCACGTGGATCCTCGTTTTTCCTATCTGGGTTCTTTCAAAGATTCCACCACCCTTAAAATAACGGTTGGGGACGTGGACGAAGCCCCCGTCTTTTCTATGGATTATTATATCATGGATGTGTATGAGAACGCACCGAGCGGCACGGAGGTGGGCGCTGTAACTGCTCGAGATCCTGACAGCAGAAATAGCCCTGTCAGGTAAGGCACTAACTGCTCGATGCATATATATATACACAAGCAAGAAGTGAAATGATTACAAATGCAGAGACGGAGAGCTGCTCTGTAGGCACACTGTCTTATTGGTTTTGCATCATTGGACAGAAGCTGAACATCTACAGTTTTTTTTTTTCTTGTTATGAAATATCAGTGCAGAGAGGAGGTAAGAGAGGAGGCTGCTAATATCATGAAGCTTATTTTAAGACTCAGCACGCTTTCAGCTGTGACCGGCAGCCAATGTAACTTTGCCACTTTGTCAAGTAATTGGTTGCCAAAAACTTTACTTTTTTGTTTTTTGAAACATGGCAGCTTTTTGCCAGATTGATTTCAGAAGAATTCTTAAAAGCCTGTTTACCATATCTGTTTGATTAGCATAGCTGATAAAGCATATGTTCGCCATGCGAGAGTCCAGTTTTGGACTCAAATTTGGTTGCTTATTTATTCATTTCTTTTTCTTTTTTTTTTTTTTTTTTTGGCATTCAGGTTGAAAGTTGATCCATGTTGCTGCAAAAAAAAAAAAAAAAAAAAAAACTGAGGTGCTTTGGCTTTGCCCGTGAAGTCGACTAATAAGATTATTTCTGCCTCCAAGAAATGTTTGTCTTACTAAAACTCCAATTTGCATGTAATATCTCTTCTTCATGTAATAGATACAGCATCTGAGCATTGGGTTTTAGCATTAGTCTGCACATACTCAGTGTCTGTCAATGATGCGTTTGCAGTAGATAGACTTTATTTCCACAGTAGGTGCATGACACAGACAATTAGGACATATATACAGACTTAAACGGAGGGTTTATGGGACACTTAATTACAGCAGAGGCGGTTATTAAGATATGGATTGACACTATGGATTGGGGTTACTTATTATTAGGAACACAAGCGCCTTCCTGCTCATGGGAACTCTGTACCTGCGGCGAGAATGAAGGGAGGGTAAAAGTGCCGGTGGAGTGGGTGGTCTGGGTCACGTGTGATTGTGAGTGCTTGCGGATCAGCGATGAGGTGACACACTCGGATAAGATACTCGGAATACCAATGAGGTTGCTGGCTGAAGGAGTTATCTTTCGGAGTTTGCTCTTGGTGATGACTGTAAGCATATGGAAAACACAGATGGCGCCACACAAAAGAACTGGCTCAGTAATGTTGCGGGGCAGGAGGAAGGAAAAGAAAATGGGACTGGACAGTGACAATTCAAAGTTCAAAATCAAATCAAGGATATTTCATGTGGCTATGAACTTCATACCAAAATAAAAGCATAATTAAATAGACTGAAAGATGGAGTGCAATGCATTCAATAGCCTCCTGTTCGGTTGTGATACTACACATGCGCTCAACGTTTTCATATCTCCTCAGAACATCAGTAATATGCATAATGGATCTTTCTCATTTTTTGGCATCATCACATAGATTGTTATTTTGTCTGCGAACCTGTGAAATAACCCGAGGCAATACAACTGCTTAGCACATTTATATGCACTCTAAACACATGCTTGTGTACTTGCTGAAAAAAAGATTGATGTTAGCCCTAGGCAGTGGACTAATCTTCGGTTTTTGCTCTGCACAGGTACCTCGTTTCATGACATTACACTCAAGCAACTACGCGCCGCTCGTATTAATTTGAATTCCTTCTCTTGCCCCGGCGTAAATGATGGAGTAGCTGTAAAGATGAGACTCCTCATGAGATGAGGTATTGCTGATATGTCAATAAGAAGCAATCTGCTGTTGCTATTACATTGGCGGCAGAGCCCTGGGGCTTTCTATACAGCATTAAGTAGACTTATGACCATACTACAGTCCGCTATGTTTTTGGAGAGGTGGGCTCTGCGCCTCCTGATGAATAATGTACAACATTGAATGACAGGATGACACGGGGTAAAGCTGATTCTTTGATTTATGTCAGAATCTTAACACTTTGTGAAAGATTTGTTGTAAACAAGAAGGCAATCTACATATGAAAGCGTTTCACCGCTCTCCTTGCGGGATACCTCCTCTTTGTCCATTCCTACGGTGCATCACTTCCAATGTTCACCACATGAAGAGGAAGTCAGCGGGATGCACTTCAGTGACATCCACTTGAACCCGGAAAAAAGGCTGAACATCCGTGCCGCCACTCCCCGTGTTGGCGTCAGACTGCAGAATGCAGCAGGGATCAGTATTTGATCATCACTTTGATCATCGAGTCTGCCCGCGCCTGCGTTGAAATAAATATGTTATTGAAGTGACATTTCAAATGTTGGCGTGAAATTGACATCTAAATAGCCAAGCGAAGTCTTGATGGCTCATTACCCCTGGTTGCTCATACTCATTATCATAATCACCAGGAACAGTTGTGAAAACTTCTTGGCCTGGTTGTGTAGATTCCAATCAGTCCCGTCTTCAGCTTTAACCAACTATTATGTTTTTTTATCTTTAGTTGTAAACAACCAAAACACATAACATATTGCCAGTTTTGAGACATCTGAATAATTTTGTAGGAATATAAATGTAAAAATAAGAATCTACGTCTAAGGTCAGATTGGTCATCTAACAGAAAAGTTAAATGGTCCCCAGTGGGTAATGTCAATCTGAATGACTTTGAAGGTTGGTACTAAGATTTTAATTTGATTCTCTACATATACAATTTACACTTCCCACATCAACAAAACAAACAGAACAGCAACAAGCTCAACCTCAGTATCTTCATATCTGATCAACTTAAACTAAACATGGTATATGGTATAATAATATATAATATGAATAAACATACACATACATCATATATAATAATAACATACCATTCTGCTCTATCTAGTACCAATCTTTTTATCCTGCACCCACGGCTTGATAAGATTGATACTTCACATCTAGCACTACCAGCAAGGTAAAAAAATCATATTTGTCCAATAGGAAACAATTTGACTGGATTAACACCGTTCTTGACTATATTTTAAGATGTCTATGTAGCATGCTAACACTTTAGCATCTGCAAAACATCAGCAACTCAACTTAAAGAAGAAATGAGCACAGTACAAGTGAAGCTGACAAAGGACTATACATTAAGGCTTCTCCGGGCCTTTTTTTTTTCAAATCCACCCACCTCCTGACAGAAGGTTAGATCAGCCAGTCCTCTTGTTTGATGTGCGGGGTTGATGTGTTGTTTGCGTTTTTATGAGACTCGTGAATGTTTACATCATTATTATTCCACCCTTCAACTAATGAGAGTTGAGCCGAGTCTGAAAGATGTAGAGGTCAGCCCAGCAGTCTGAGTCTGAGGTGTCCTGAAGCCGCCACCTTACAGACGATCTCTCTAATCACCCTCAGGACATCTTTTGAATTTTGCTGCACCAGTGTAAAGAGTTTAAGGACATCAAAGTTGCCTCTATGTTGTTTTTTTTAATCCATCCAACCGTTTTGTTTTTGTGTTGTATAGTGATCATTACCACCGCTGCTATCAAAATAATTTTGTTGATGTTCATTACACTCCAATAATTTTGCACCGAAAAAAGAAAAATCCATAATTACTGTGTTTTAGTTTGTTTCTGCGAATGCAGGGAAGGGAGTTATTACTCACATCAGCAGTTGGTCTTGTTGTTTGAAGAAAAGAAAAGATTTTCTTTTATCAAGGTGTTCTGGGAAATAATCATTACATGGTGTAACGTCTTATGCTTTCGCTGGTTATCTGCCGGAATATGAAAATAAAGCAGCAAACAACAAATGCACATGATTTATCACCGGCAGCAGTAATTAACCATATTGAAGTGTTCTTCAGCAGAGCCATAAAATCACATGCTTTTCTTTGAGACAAAGTGAATGCTTAGCACCTAAACTCTCCTTTTTACAGCCCAAAAGCCTTCACGCTCTTAAGAACCCGAGCATTTAATAAATCATGACAACATTTCTACTGAGGCTGCTGCACACACTTGTAAGCAATTCACGCTTAAAAAATTAGTTCATTATATCAAATAAATGCAATCCTGGCATTAATATGCCCATACCGTTTCCATCTCATGTCAATTGAAAATTGTCGAGAGGCCATATTGCTCAGGAGAATGAATGCTGGATTAAAGGTGTAAATAGGTCATTAAGAGATAAATTAGGGAATACACAGTCAATGCTCATTCCGTGCTTGAACTCATGAGAGGAGCAACCGAGCCCGTTTCTGCTTTGCATTCCGCAGACTGCTTTGTTTCTGGTTTGATAACGGCGTTGCTAGAAAGCCATTACAACAGTGTAAACATTGCCAGCAGAACATTGCCTTTTGTCATTATTAGATATTGAGGATAATTGCTCTTGACTTAGAAATATGTATTTTCATAGCGTTCTGTCAAGACCTAAAGTCCATTTAAAAGCAGTTGGAATTATTCTATTCATGGAGGTGGTGCAAGAAACATAACATCCCCTTTGGCTTGTACAGCTGCTGCTCTTCATTCATTGCACTGCACGGTTTTGGTTCGCTGAGTCTTTGATCATTAATGGAAGTTTTTGTTTTCTGGTTTGTCACCGAATAGACACGAACCAAAGTAAATAAATCTGTGTTTATTAACGCCTCAGTAAAGTTTGTGAAGTAAAGCCTTGGCCAGAAAAAGACATTAAGGGCCTGCATAGTGTTTTTAGGCATTTACCTAAGAACTGCTTGGCTCTACCAATTTCATATAAAGGTCAGTTTATTTGTAATGAGCAGTAATACTCTCACTTGCATTACTTCTTCTGTGGCTCTAAAATGAGTTTTCTAAAACACTGAAACAATAACTTTGCTGATATCATAGGTTATGTTTATATAGTTGCTAACTGCTAACAGAAAGCCTCCGTTACAAACTTTGGGTAAAGAGTTTGAAAGACGTGGCTGGCATTGGGGGAAGTGTAGGCCGTAGTGTTTTTTTATTTGACCCATAGGGACTAAAAGTCAGGATATCTCAGGCTCTTTTGCAGTTTATTCATCCTTTTTTGTCTCTGTTGTGAGCACTCTAATTTAGTGGAGGAAGAATGTTAAATTAGCGGAGTGGCCCTTTAAGTCTGTCCCCATTCAGTGTGTGTGTGTGTCTGTTTAGAGGTTTTCTGTGATTTGTAAGACATGTAGGCAGCTGTGGCTCAGGAGGTAGAGCGGGTCGTCCATTAATTAAGTCGGTGGTTCGATCCCGGCTCCTCCGGGCCACGTGTTGAAGTGTCCTTGGGCAAGACACTGAACTCCAAATTGCCCCTGATGGCTGTTCCTTCAGTGTTCGAGTGTGGGTGTGATGTGTGAATGTTTGAGTGAATGGGTGAATGTGGCGCTTTGAGTGGTCAGTAAGACTAGAAAAGCGCTATATAAGTGCATTTACCATTTGTTAAACGTGGTCTACACGTGGTGGTAAAGTCACATATAATCATTGTTTCAACAGCATTCCAAGCTATGTCAGAACAGTGTTAATACATAACCTATATATAACCTAATCTTTGATTTTCCATCCCAACTTTTAACCTGAAAGTTCAAATGAATCTTACTAGGTGCCGCTAGGTAACTGTACCCTACAGATTATCCACTGTTACCTTAGTGAACTCTTCTTGTACCTCATCTTTTATTTATCCATCACTTTGTTTTTGGGAAAATTCACGTGGAGTGGACACTGAGTGCATAATATCTTTTCCTAATAGGTATTTCATGGACAGCAAAGAAGATGGAGAGAGGTACTTCAGAATTGATGAGAGCACTGGAGTTGTACGGACGACGCAGCCTCTGGACAGAGAAGACATACCTTGGCACAACATAACGGTGATGGCCTCGGAGGTTGGTAGGTACCCAGGTGACTTTCCATAAACCTAATGTTTACGCGTGGGCGAGTGATTATAAAGCACCCGCTGTGTCTGTCTGCTCGGCCATGTTATGGTTTTTTGGTTTTTTTGGGGGGAGTTTTTGAGCATTTTTGCCTTTATACGGACAGTACAGTGAGAGATAGACAGGAAATTCAGGGGGAGAGAGAGAGAGGGGATGACATGCAGCAAAGGGCCGCGAGTCAGACTCGAACCCATGGCACTCGGCCATGTTTTGCTGAGGTTTCCTGACATGGCACACTTCCTGAGACTCTCAAAAAGAAATGTACAAGCAGATGCTGTTTTAAATTTCAGTTGAAGAAAGTCTGTTCAAGTTCTTTCGCTGTGCTAACATGACATTTTTTCATCAGCCTTTTCAGCAGGTTTAGAGGCACTTTAGCCCAGAATTACCTACATTCATAGACTGTATTCATAAAGACATAAAATGGCTTTTACATACACTACACTTACGGTACATACTGTACCATCCTCATCACCTACTGACATATAAATATGGAATATTTCTCCCAGGTTTGACACGTGAAATGCTGTAATGCAGCTGCTTGAAAGAAGCATTACTAAACAAAAACAACCAGACTTCTAGCCAGAAGTTTTTTTTTTTCTTTTCCTACAAGATAACAAGACACCCTGAGGGGATCATATAGTGAGAGAGAGCAGCCCAGGTTCAAATTCATGGAGTGTAAAACTGGAGTCCAAATCAATATCAACAAAAGAAAGGTTCCATAAAAAAGGAACGACTATATGAATCTGCACTGCGCCCTCTCCTTTTACCTACAGAATAAAATCTGCAGCGCTTTTTTTTTTTTTAGGCTGATATTCACTTGGATGTCTTGATCAAAGTCACTTCACTGCAATACTGTACATGTAAATAGCCCACATCCACTGCAGCAGCATTACCAAAGCACCAAAACTACAACCAATGGTGGTCACCTGCAGTTCTTTCCATATCCAGGTCATTGTCCCATTGCACTTTGATAATGGAAGCCACATTCACCCATTCACACACACATTCATACAGAACTTTTTCCTACAGATATTGCACTTCTCTATCACACACACATACTCACACACCACTGATCCATCAGGGAGCTATTTGGGGTTCAGTATCGTTTCCAAGGACACTTGGACAATGTGGAATGGAGGAGCTGGGAATCAAACCACCGACCTTCAGATTAGTGGGTCGTCCACTAATGACCACTTGACCTCTTGGGCCACAGCGGAGTAAAATGACTAATTTATTCAAGCTATGCTGTGAAAAAAATCCCCCTTCATATAGGATAACAAAGCTTTCAACAAATTAAAACTTGTATTTTGTCTTTATGATTTTTAATAATTGACATAGTCAATTTTCGATACTCATTGGTCGTTTACATTTCAACATTCTGTGTCCAGTTTTCAAAGCAACAAGATGCTTTAATAGCACAATTAACAGTGATATCACAGTTACAAGCTGTATTTAAACACAGTCCTACATCAGGTGAATTAACAGAGAAATTAACAATTAAAGTCAGGAGAAAACAGGGATAAAGGAGTCAATTTGCATATTGATTAGAATGTATTCAAATAGGTTAGAGTGTATTTTCCTTATAATTAACTACAAAATCAAATTAGTCCCAATTGTTTCAATGTCCTTTCCTACATTGAAAATTAATTAAATCAATGCAGGCCCCGCTAACTTCAAGAATTGCTATCAGGTAACTTGGGTAATTTGTAATCACAATTAGGCAAATCTCTTGCCAGCCGACAGAGGTGCTGCATGCTAATGCTTCTTTATCTCCTCACCTCTCCTTAGTATTCAAGGATACAGTTACATGCAGTGTCACTATCAAAAGGCAGAATGATACGTTTTTACCACTTTGAATGAGCAAGGACACACTGTGTCGCAGACACAAAGCACCCGCCATAGTACACTGCAAAGCAGCATCCTGCAGAGACTTTCCTCCGCTGTCTAATGGCCACCAGGAGCTGCGAGACAAACCCTAGTGAGTGATAGAATTAGAGAATGAATATGTTATTGAATTTTAGTTTTAGCTTTTGGCTCACCTTTTGTACTTTACATCTAAGAGCGTAAAGCACTGTCTTATAACACGGTCGCTGCAATGTCAAACCCGTCTTTAGGTGCTGAAAGAAAATACCATGCATGGAAATTTTTATTCTGTGCACAAGATGAAGTAAATAAAAAGTGTGAAACATTAATTTAATAGAAAGATTGCTGCACCTGCATGACTTTTTGCTGTTCAGGGAAGGTCTTGCTGAGTGAGCATGCTATTTTTCAGCTTTGTTCTGCAGCACATTCACCTGGAAGCTACCCAGTAAAGCTAGTCTACTTCTGTTGGGGGCTGAGGTGCCCCACAGGGTGATGGGTAACTGCCCTGCATAAGGGCTCTTCAAAAATACTTGAGAAACCAGGGGGAAAAAAATCATCTGTACATCAGACCTCAGACAGGCCTCATAAGTACTAAAAGCAAAACGCAATCAATATGAAATCTTAATTCCATAGAGAAAAGCATAAGTGTTAAATCGTGTTTTTTTCTGGTTTTGTTTTACCAGAAAAGACAGACGAAAAAAAGGCAAATGTTTTACACGCTTCATGAGTTGCTCATGCAGGACAGTGGGTAAATGCATCACAACCGCACACCGAGTGAGACAGACACAATGCTGCACAAAGATGATCAGATGTGCTTTAATACAGAAAAACTGCCTTCTGCAACATTGCATCCCTCAGTGCCTTTGTAGTGGCACAGCCTAAGACTAAAGCCATAAAAAGAAAAGCCCACCAAGAAGAGCACAGTGTGTCCCAGTTTGAAATTACAGTGTTGATGCTCTACTTTATTATTAAGGCTTACATTTGACTTTCATCTTCTTTGTCACATGTACTCTCTCTCTCTCTCTCTCTCTCTCTCTCTCTCTCTCTCTCTCTCTGTCTCTCTCTCCCTCTGCTACAGACAACCCCAGCCTTCTCAGTCACGTTCCTGTTACCGTCCAGGTCCTGGACGTGAACGACAATCCGCCAGAAATAGCCACGGACGGGGAGGTCATTGTGTGTGAGAGCTCAAGGCCGGGACAGGTGAGCGTCTAGGATTCACCTAGAAAAATCTGCCTCTGCTTCTGTTTTTCTCTCTCTCTCTCTCTCTCTCTCTCTCTCTCTCACACACACACACATTCAAATCTTTCTACACCCTCCAAAACACACACAGCAGAAGGGAGGTGTTGAGAGGTGTGTGTTAACCTCAGCCGTTTCCTTGAATACGAGCATTTCTCCACCGAACTATTGTTTTCCTCAGCGGTTCGGGTTTGCTCACTGAGAGCCGAGCAGTGAGAGACCGTAGAGGCACTGGAGAGAGCTGCTTAATCATCCCTCATTGAAAATGAGTATCTCAGCAGCAAACCATGACAACTCTAAATCGAAGCTCATTCCAATTTGCTCTCAGTAGTCTTTGATTCATTCAAATTAAGAAGGTTTTTGAGATATAGAGCAATCAGCAGCATGGAAATGGTTGAAAGGCTGGTTCGACGAAGGAATGTTGGGGGGGGGGGGGGGGGGACTGAGAAGACACCAACTAAATACATTTTTAATAGTTTCGAGCTAGTGGGAGAAAAAGTTTGAATTAAAGTTTACATTAGATTTGAGTTATGGTTCCGTAGTAGCCTCAGGATTCTTAGCTTAGGGGATTAAGTGGGACGAGTTGTAAAGTGTTGAATGAGATAGTAGCTGCTCATTAATGTTTTAGAATCTGTTTGCATCCCAATTCTTACACCACACAGATGGGAAATTACATAATCAGTTACCAGGTGTACATTAAAATTGTAACAGGACACCTAGTTCCAATTAAGAGTTAAGGTACATTAATGAATATATGCTCAAAGTATATTAAACTGTAACCACGGCAACAGTACACCAGTAAAATGACCATAAATATCAAGATTTGTGACTGACATCGGTGCTGAAACGTGTCTGCCGGTAAATAATGAAATGAGCTGATGTTTTGGATCTGAAGAGTCTGGATGTGATAACAGCAAGAGGAGGCATCTTGTCAGCTCAGGAGCCACAACACTGAACTGCGCGGTGATTTGAAGAGTGTCAGTTCCTTCACGCTGTCAGCTACGATGTAGTATTTTAACACCACCGATAGCCAGACCTCCACAGTGTGTGGACAAGATCACAAAGAAACTCAAGCGCAAAACGTTGCTTAGACAAGTTCAGAGACACATCAGACTCATTATGTTGTAAACCAAATGTTACATTATGGAGAACAACTTTGCACCCACTCAGAAAACCAACGAAGAAGTGATGTTTTCCCCTCAGGTAGGCATTTTCATGCAGCAGCCAAATGTGTTGCTCCAGTTCACTGGTTTTTTTCCACCTTGATGGAAACTAACATTATTACAGCTGAATTTTGGAGCCATTAAATCCAGAAGGAAAAAAAAAAGAGCACAGAGGCTTCAACCAGTGCCAGCCTGTCAACCAAGTGAACTCGAGCACAAACAAAGCCCACTGTTAACACTGAACAGTCGAAGACAAAGGCTCTTGCAAGTACACGAGGAGCACAGCAACACCTCAGATCTCACACGGAAGATAAGAAGTCCCCGTGGTGACAGCGGCTATCAGATTGTTTTTCTCTCAACGCCCGCTCTGTCCCTGCTCTTACTGTGCCTTTTACCAATTAAGGGTAACAAGCTGACATAAGTGGCAGTGAGGTTGCCCTGAGGACACCCCTGTCATTGTAAGATTTGCGCCCACCCCACCACCCTCTACACTTCATGGCGCAAGCCAAATGCTCTGAAATCCGAGTGTCGCTACCAGCAACTCCCGTTCCGGCGGCGTACACAGGTAGAGGAGAAAACGTGGCTGTAGGTCAGAGGAACCCGCGACTCTGTCCGATTATGATCAAACAAATCATGAGACACGAATCAGACAGTAAATCAACCCTTTTGTCCTGCATGCAGTTAGAGTGAAAAGTGATTCTAAATAGTGCAGCTAATTAAATGTTGCAGGTGTTGCCTCTGGAAAGTAATTTACCCTCTGTCTTCTGAACAATAGGTGATCCAGACTGTCACAGCAGTGGATAAGGATGACTTTGCCAATGGACAGCGGTTTTCCTTTGCTTTGCCGAGCCAGCTACCAGTTAATCCCAACTTCACCCTGAAGGACAATGAAGGTAATTAAAGTGATCAATATGTTTGTTTGCATTTCTTATGAGTTTTGCACTCTGCCTCCGGGGCAGGGCTCCGTCCTCATTGCTCACAATTCTAAGATCCAATAAGCCGTACCGATTTCCTCACACCTTGCAGGCGCAATAAAAAAAAATATGCACTCAGCCAACTGGGTGCGACGGACGCCTTAAGAGTCAAATGCCACCGGGATCATGAAACACGAAGGTTTGGCATGTTTGCGCTAATGTTGTCAGACAAATCACCCTCTTTGCTCCCCTCCCCCAACCCTCTTCCTGCGTGCGTTATTCGGTGTCGTAACAGGGCGGAAGACGGCGGGTGTTACCGTGGCAACCATCTCAGTCTCAGGTGGATACCTAGCGCCGGGTTGGTCCGCAATCACAGGGCTTTTAAAAGCTCTCAGCCAGGAGATCTCACAGTTGCCCACTGAGGAGAGGAGGGGAGTTCACAGCACTCCAGATGAATCCCTGGGCCAGAGAGAGAGAGAGAGAGGAAGGAAGGAAAATAGAGAGGAAGGGGGGAGCACAAGAGATAAAAAATCGATGTGATAATAAGAGATAAGTCTGTTTGGCCCTTGGTCCGGTTGCTTCCCACCACAAGCCTTCCCCTGGCCTCCTTCAACTACATTGAGGTTCAGAGGGAAGTTTTACAGCATTCATTTAAATGGCAGTCAGAGACGTCCCGCACCTCCACCTCCTAAGGGGAGGGGAGATGAATCAAACAAGGAAAGGATGAACTGCCTCACTGCTCCACATATCTCCTGAAGGACAATGAATTATAATTTTTTTTAGAGTGCAAATTTGGTATAAATAATTTATTGAGCAGCATTTTGCTTCAGTTTTACACATATTAACCCAGTAGACCAGCTCTGAAGTCAGCTGTTGGAGGTGAAATAGAAGTGTGATGTGTGTATTGTGTGTGATGGCAGAATACTTACTTTACTTTTCCACGTCTTTGATTTGATCCTGTAGCGGGAGCCCTAATCAAAAAATTGAGAACACCGCGATGAAAGATTCAGATCTTGGCGCTACAGTGACTCCCGTTTTATCCAGTCTAATTGAGGACTGGTATTTTGGCATCTCTTTATGGGTGTGAACATGATGTATATGTTGTGAAAAACACTTGTTAAATATTTCTTATCTTTGTCACTTCGTTACTCAGGGGTACTACCGAGAAATACACCGAGGTACACCGCTAGACTGCTGCATTCACTACATCTCTTGCTGATTTGCCATATGCTGCGTTCACAGTGCGGACTTGACGGAAAGCTAATAAAAGCTAACACTGAAAAATCACTTGTTAACCAACATCAAGCTGGCCACAGTGATGCAGTCATCCTTTATTACTGTTGCTCCTCGCTGTGCTTTCTCTTCAGTAAGATGTCTGGCAGATGATATGAGGCGTATTGCACAGTTGTGAACAGTAAAATTAAAATGTGGCTACATATACCACTAAAGGCAGAGTAGCCTTTGCTAGGGTGAATATTTCGACCAAAGAAATTATAGACACCGTGATCCTTGCAGCGTTTTTGTTTGGGGGTAATAGCTCCTGGTGGGGCCTTCCAGGGCAAATTGGTCTCACATGAGGAACAAGAGTAAGGGCTGCTCCTCGGATCAATGTGTTTGGAAAGCTGTGCTTGTATCAGGGAGACCAGGGGCATCCTCCTGAAGCCAGGCCTTACAGGCAAGTGACTGGCAGGTAGGTTTACCTGTGGGGACAGGTCTGCTTTTAGTGCAAATTAAACTCAAAATACCAGTAATCTGACAATATTTCTCGTTTATGCAAAGTGTTTCTGTCAAAGATTTAGCAGCAGTATATCCCCAAAGCATTCAGGAAGGAAACCCTTTCTTTCTTGAAGGATTGATAGATTTTTTTCTTTTCTTTTTTTCTCGTTTTGGTTTGTGCTGTTTAAGTAATGGTGTTTCATTTTGGGTGTTAGCACCCGCTGCCTACCGTCCTACATGCTTTTGTTTTTGTCAAACTATATCCGTGATATAATCCCACGTGGGATTGGCCGATTACGTGTCATGACATGGAAAGGAAAAAAAGTATTCATATTTTAATCACTGGTCATGAAAAGAACAAAGGGAGTTTTATGCAAGCCGTAGTGTGGGATAAGTAGAAGGAAAACTATTTTCTTACACCCTAAAAACATATCCTGTGAGGATAGCACAGAAACTCTAACATAATGGGACCTTGTGGTTCCTCATGCAGCTGGTCTGTCTCTCTAGGAAAGCTGTTAAAGAGCATGTTCTGATTTAGAGCAACAACCTGGACGCTTAGTTGACCAGATGACAGAAAGGCAGCTGCCCAGCAGAGCCTCTAACTTGTTCTGTTGACCGCAGAGTAGCTCCACTGGAGCAGTTAAATGCCTTAGTCAAGGGCACACTTAAGCTAGGTTTTAGATAAGGAAAGTGGTTCTCATTTTAAGAACTACCTTTTAAGCCACCTGCTATCAGACACACACACACACACACCTCCTATTATACTCAGCTCATCAATGAAGAATGGGCCAAAAGCTCAAATGACAAATCATTATATTACAGTGTTGACCATCAAAATTTCCTCTTTTTCTCCACTTGTTCTGCTGTGTAATTTATCTGCTTACTCGTTTATATTACAATTCCTCGTTCCTCGGGTCACTTAAAGTATTTCCCTCTAAATTCTTCGCAGCGCATCTGCACAAAACCCCTTCTTAATGATAAGCCGCTGCACCCCGAGTTCATACCGCCTCAGTCATCTCCAGTCACTCGGAGCCCGCATTTGCGCTCGCTCTCAAAAAGAGGTGTCGGGAGTCGTACGGCGTGCTGCTGCCACTGTGTATTAGAAGTTATTTGCTGTGTTCACAATATCGGGGTGAGAGAGAGAGAGGCACAATGCACCATACTGTTGACTCCTGTGTCTGATAATTAAAGTAAGCTCTTCACACTCGAAGCAGCTTCGCTCCTCGCTGTTGTAGCAAACCAACAGTTGGTGGCTGCTCTCTGCCAGGGCCTAATACCTCCCTCTGTTGTTGTGCAACTGACGAAAATCCCTCTCAGTCACTCACACGACTAACTCTCTCCTGACCTCCTTTCCTCCTCAGTTAGAGTTTGCTCACAGCGGATCCTCATGAAACTTGGTTTTATTTGTGGCTCAGTTTTTGTGCAAAAGAAAGAAAGAGGGATTAAAGTGGAGAGACTGATATTTTTAATGGCCACATCTTTAGTTAAATAACGAATGATTTCTGCAAATGATTCCTCCTTTTCATTCATTCCAGGTAATTTCACAATCAGGACTTTTAAAACAACTCGTTAACTCGAGCATTATGGCTTTTTCGGGAAGCTTTTCTGTCTGCTTGCAACTACATCAGATTTGTTGAAGGCTATTATCTTGTTACAATTGGTTCAATTCCTACGGAGACCTGTACTGTAACAGCTCCAGCTCTGCTTAACAATACCCCATCAGCACAGTGGTCGAGTATCTAAAAAGAAAACACAGATTCAGCCGTAAATTCAGAACAAGCTCTCTTCCTTGCTTGTGGAATCGCAATCTTTTGCCGTGCATCCTTAATCACGTTGTCGTCATGCCGATGTGTTGATGTAGCTAAAGTGCCGGATGCTCTACAGTAAATGCAGGTCAAACTCCTACAGTGTATTAGGCACCATTAAAGCAGAAAAACAAGGGGAATGCTTCTGCTCAGCTGCTCTGGGTAAGCACTTTGTGACAAACCTGTTCTGTTAAAAGCCCTTTAAAAGTATTCAACTTGACTATGTCTACTTTACAATGAGTGTAAATTGAATGCCTCTTTGATCTCGTTATCTGTCACATTGTGATGACATTTGCTTCTAAAAAGGCAATTAAACGGAAGCTATGATCTCTAAATAACCCACATACTTAAATAGATCAATTGATTTCTGAAGGCATCGTCTTCCAGTGTGCATACAGAAGACCTTACAATATTACAGTTAATCAGCTGTGTTGAAAGAAGCGCCGTCAAGTCATTGATATGTGGGACGTTTAATTAGCTTTTATGTCATTCACACTTCCCTTGCAATGGGTGTTATACTGCTACATTCCCAAACACCCATTATCTGCTGAAACAGCATGATTTGTGCGAAGAGTGCAGAGCAGCGTGTCTCGTGCTGGTTTTGTCAAAACAGCTGAAAATTGTCACAATCTCACATTGGAGTGTTTGATTAGCTTTTACTCAAGTAAAGTTCAGATGTTTCCCTTATTACTTCATATTTGTTATTTAAAGCTCCCATATTTTACAGATTTACAGTGTTTTATGTCGTGTTGATCCACAAGAAGATATATTTGTGGTTTTAAGAACCAAAAACCATCTCAATGTAGTTTTACATCAACTCTCTCAGGATTCTCTCTCGAGCTCTAGCAACAACAGGTCAGTGAGCCAATCAAAAGAGAGGAGGCTCTGATCCTCTTTTCTGATTGGCTGACTGTTTTCTGAGTGATCGAAAAAAAAATATAGTAGATTTCAGGTAAACACTTAGAGAAACAAAATCCTGCAAGGTTGTACGGTGGGTCCAGGTGGGCAGGGCTTGGGACATGACTGAGGATGGGGTGGTGACTGCTTTGTTGTGACATCACAACGTTACACGGCTGGTTTTAAGGCTCAGTTTCTGAATACAGGTTGTGTAGATTTCTCTGTGGTCTGAGGTTTTGATATTTTCACAGTATTAATATAGAACCTAGACCTGCTTTATATTCAAAAAAGACATGAAAATATCTTCTTTATACAATATGGGACCTTTAAGAAAAGGAAATAACATTGTTTATTGTTTTTTTTTTTTATAATAGAAAAAGCAAACATTGTTTTGCAGAATCCTTGCATGTGTGCAGTAAGACCTCAGCAACCAGTGGTGCCACATCGGAGCTGTGAACCAATTTGTTTCTGCATAACAGAGAAACATAATAATAGTACTCTCCAGTCCCCATTGATTGTTACTGCAAAAGCATACAGGCCAACCCATAATTAAATCAAATA